AATTCATCTCTCTCAGCTAACTTATTTTTGCATTATTATGAAAAAAATTATACTCTTAATATTAAATTCGTTTTTAGATTTATTGATGATTTAATTATCTTTCATTTTCAAGATTATACTATTTTATTAAATAATATTTACCCAGAGGAATTAATCTTGCTTTGTAATCATGATGATAATGTTAATTTAAATTTTTTGGATTTGGGTATTTTTAAGAAGAAAAAAAACTGCTTTGTTGATTTATACGATAAAAGAAATAATTTTAATTTTAATATAAATAAACTAATTACTTGGAATTCTAATGTTTCTAGGATCATCTATTTAAATACCACTTTTAATGAAACGAATATAATTAAAAGAATATGTAATAATATTTATTTATCCATAAAACAAATAGATAAACTCTTTCAAAATTTGATAAAAAACGATGGATACCCAACTAAAGTAATTAAATTCTATATAAAATCATTGAGTTAATTGTATATTTTTGTAAATAAACTTGCTAGAAAATTTCTTTGCTAATTTATATAATTTTTGCCTTGTGCAAATCCATTTCAGGCAAATCCGTGTTTAAAATTATGTACAAAACAGGCAATTCATGTTTCTTTCTCTTTTCTATTTTATTTCATTTTCTTAAGTAAATGTTAATTTTCTAAAATTATTAATTGTCAACTTCTTTAAATTATCCAGTATAATATCACCTTGCGCACATCCATTTTTAGGTCCATCCTTGTTAACTAACAAATCAAACGCACTTCAGTACTGCAGTAAGAACGCACTTTAATACAAAATCCCCCTATTTACGCTTTTTCTTCAATTTGCGCTTTTGGTTTCATATTTTGCAATCTGGCAATCCTGTTACGAAAATATTTTAAATCCTTCTTGAAAAATTTCCCCTTCATGTAAGTTCATTTGAATTCGCTATTCACTTTATATATTTCATTGCATGTCTTATTTTTTTTATATATATTTTATTTTCTGCTTTACATAATATTTTTACTTATTGTGTTCTATTTTATTTGTTGTAATTTTTTTGTAAAATTTTTTGAGTGCTCCTCACACTATTGTATTGATATATTTTGCTTTGGCTATATTGATACAATATTTGAAAGCACTCCTTTTTGCGGATATATTCGCGTGAGCTGATGAAATGATTATATCTTTTATTTTTCGAATTTGTATTAATTCTTTTTCTCCGGTATGTTGTTATCTTTATTCCCCCCTTTTTTCATTGTTGTGTAATTTTTTTCATGTTTTCTCTACATTTTGAACTAATATATATATATATA